CACTGATCGAAATGGGGTGATATTTATTAGATGAAATGGAAATTAAACCGTCAAGAGTAGTAATTCAAAAATATCTCTATCGTGTAAATATGGGAAGAATCTGAAATTGTTTTGCCGGTAAATGGTATAAGATTCATCATCGAACCTCTCCTAACAACACTATTCATTGATATCAACTGGTTCTTGACATGGTGTAAGAGCTTTCGATAGCCGAAAGATCTTGTTTATGAATCTCAATGACTCACATCTGTTAAGCACATTAATATTCAGACTTGTGCTAACTTCAACCTCATATTATTTGACTTCCGTTTGTGAGAACTTATATTTAATGGTACATAAAAGTCATTATTCATCTCTCCCAAACAATATCCACGTATCCCTTCATATAAATCCATTTTCATTAATTCGTGGAAAGATTAAGGTATATATGGTAAGCACATGGGCCGCAAGAGCTTCTCCTCATCGTGATGTTAAAGAAAGGACATAATGTCGAAAAAGTGGCACTCAAATCCACCGACTCTATACGGCGTGTGGGGAACTATGGAAGCATGTACAGAAAATCGACCCACCATTCACCAATTAACTATCTGCACGCACTTCTAATATAACTCTTTTGCTCCCCTTCTCTCTAATCAATTCAGGTAAGAACAAATTGATTAGGGTGATATGATTAAAGCGGAGCTCAAAGTAAGCAATATGTTACTCAATGAGATCATAAGAGATCGCTTTTCGTTTGCCCACTTAGCTTTTGCGGCCGTGCAAAATTGACAATGTGATTATGGGGAAATGATTGCCACAATGTCGGGGGGGATCTCGCCATAGTAACTAACTAGTTAAGTCGGCATTGTTAACTAATTAGAGGTTAGCCTATATGGGATGGTAACGTGTATCACACCTTTTTGGTTTGATGGTTCGATATGGGAGAATTATGACTCACGTAATCAAATCTAACAGAAGTCGACGAAACGTAATTTTGTAGAAACGGGAGAGATAGATTGCGATTGATATCACGGGAAAATATCATTTTTTTTGCACTCCATACAACATGAAAATCTTACACATGACGACCAGAGGGTTAAATGGAGTGATGTCATTTTCGGGAAGCACACGCATGCATTCAAAAAGCGTCGGTGTTTCGTACTTAGCTGGGCATAAGAAACCTTTCTATGATGCGGCTCGAACATTCGCATGAACATGTTCCACCTATTTACCAAGAGATGTAATGAGAATCACCCGAAGTCAAGAATTTCATAACTACATTTTGGGTGTTACAGTATCAACCCCCGATGGATAAAACCTACCCGCCTCTATGGCACAATAGAAGATGAAATGAAACCATTAATGATCAACAAGGCACAATAGAAGATGAAAATGAAACCATTAATAATCAACAACAACAATTGTTTCAAGAACAAGAGTACATGAATCATGATGTTAGATCCTTCCTATCTTTATGGGTCTGAGCAACTAGGTGATGTTGGTAGGTGAGCAGTTGACCACCACCCGCTACAATTTATCATTGGAGCAATGATATGTACAATGCTTTGGGAGCAAAGAATAAGCTTGGATGAAAGAAACACAAATTGAAATAATTTATCTTAAATGCACGAGAAACCTGTTACTATATCTGTGGATTACAATGCTCACCTTCCAGCTAAAAATGATTATCCCTTTCCTGATCTTGAACTCTACAGAACGTTAGGTTGGTAAACTCATTTATCTAACTACTACAAGAACTTCATAACTTCCAAATACCTATCTTCATCCAACAGTCTCTACTAGCACTCAACCATATACATAGTTGAAAATCCCACCTTGCATGAATGAACCAAACTCATCTACACAATAAATAAAAGCCAAATGAGAAAACTTGAAGCCCCATTTCAAATTTCCTGCATCCAGAGTGAAAGTAGGAAGGACATTTTGGTCTTCACAATTACTTTTTTTTATTCATTAAAAAGGCACTTACTAGGATTCGAACCATGACCACTTTAAAGAAAAACAAAGATCATAACCAATCACACTAAATACATTTGTTGTATCTTTATAAATTAAAACATATAATCGCAGAGAGGAAAAAGCCATTCCCCCATTTCAAATTCCCTGCTCCAGGAGCGTTTGTAGGAAGGGTAGAATATGGAGTGTCAATTTTTTTCTTTTTCCTCTGTGGAACGGGCCAACTTACCGTACACATGCGGATTTAAACGGGTCCAGGAGTGTCAAATTTTTTCTTTAAGTCCTTTTATTTCTTCGTGGTGGTAACATATATATGAAAAGGCAAAAACAATACTCCTTTTTATTGCTAAAAAGAAAAAAAAATTAACAATAAACTAATGCATGGATTCTAATGGGCTAACCGCTAATCATAAAATAAAAGAGTTGAATGGGCCTGACCTACACGGGATTTGCCCATCAATCAAAACAAATAAACATCATGGGTTTACCATTCTAAAACAAATATTTTCTCTAGCATAATATATATTATGCTATTATTTTATATCTTAGTGGCTAAAATATAATGTATTTTAAAGTTATTCAATGGTTCAACCTCGACCAACCTAATTAGTCCAATTTTTATCATTTCAAATATATATTATGTAATTATTTGATATCATAATGATTAAATTATAGTGTATATTATAGGGAATCGTTTGGTATTTGTTGGTAATAACTAAACATAAAGGTCTATTTGGTTATTTTTAACATTAAAACTATCCTAAACATTTTTAGTTTCCTTTCGAAATTCTATAGTTTTATTCCCGAATCAGTGATGTGCAAATGGCGAATTGCAGTCATCTATTCTTTCATTATTTTTAGATTTTATCATAGCTTGGCAAAAAACCAGAAAGCACAATGATGACAAGATGAAAGTTTTATAAAGCAAATTAATCGGCCAACGAGCCGAGTAAAAGCTAGCAACGATTGTGAGATACTCATTTCCCGAAAACCGGCTAGATAGGCGATTTTTTATTCGATTTTCTAGAATTCGGTTTCTATAAAACTTACTCCACCTCATCATATTACCAGAAACAAATTTGTTTCACAAGGTAACAGGTACTTGATTTTGGTTCATAAGGCTGGTTTTTGATTCGTTGCATCATTCATGTCTTTTTCCTACTAAAATTCGCTATTTTTATCACGTGTTTCCCCAAAAAATCTAAACAACAATAAGCTATACAACCCATTACTTTATCAATTTTCATACCTCACCTTCCTCCGACCAAATGACCGGGGCCCACGCTAGTTGAGTTGTATTGTCACTTAGTAATTAAGAGCTCAGATTAGTAGCAATATTCATATCTCCACAACACATCAGTTAGCAGGTCTCTTCAGCAAGTCTCTGCCTCCAGCTCCATCCATCTTTCACTACTTACTCTTGTTTAACACCTTAATTTATAGTTTATTAATCTATCAGATTCTTGATAAGACTCCCTTATTACAAGAATTCCTACTTAAAGAGTTTTTATAATTAATATTTTCTCAAGAGTAGGTAAAACCATCAAAAATTCTAAACACCTAATTTTCTTAACCTGCCTAGATCGGCCAACAAGTGGAGATGGAACTGACAAGTAAAACAAAACCTCCTCCTCGAGTTTAATTAACAAGGAGTATAATTATATATGATTAGGAGGTTTTTAATCAAATAAAGCAAGGCAGGCTCCATTATTATTAGCAACCTGAAGACTGATTAATAAAATAAAACACCCATCGGCACCCATCGCTTTCTTCTAGTTTCCCCTATGCAAACAAATTGTACGGGCGCGGCTCCTTCTTTTACAAAATCAAAAGAGATTATATTTAACAAATAAAAGTTACCTAAACCGCTGTTTGCTTTGTTTCTTTCGTTGATTACTATTCATTTAACTTCAGCATTAACGACATATTTTCACCAAAAAAGCATTAACGACATAGTAAGACTTAATTATCTATTTTGGAGGGGTAGAAGACGGTAAACACAGAGTTACAAGGAATCGGTCCGTCGAGAGTGAGACCTTAGTAAATTCTTCCTACTAACAATCAAAAAATTTAATCTTGCATTTTTAGGTGGACTCAAAAAGCGATATTTTCTTACAATTATGACGTGGCTGCAGGAGGATTGTTTAGGACAGATGTACACTAGTCATTGAGCCGCTGGGAACTAGAAGAATTATTTTATTTATATATTAATTTATTCTTTATAATGGATGGATAGCATTAGCATATAAGCCAGTATATGTTGTGCACTACCACACCATCTTAAGATCAAAGTTGGCTTGGTCTAATGACTATGCATAAATTAATTAAATAAAGCTGTGAATATACTAAACTTATAGTTGATGATACTAGAAAATATTTTCTAGTCACGAGCTTGAAGTGGATTTTGTAACTAATTAATTAGCTTAAGCTGTACATAACAAGCTCAAACTTAAGACGGAATTGTTGGGGAAATGATTACCCAGCTCAATGATTGGTTCCATCCACTAGAAGGGGAAAAAAACAGTATCTTAACTTAATTGTGAATTATCATTATTGTGGCACGATATATTTTTGGGAAAAGAAACCTAGAGGGAAAGAAAGCAAAAAAAAAAAAAAAGAAATTCCAAGTCAACCCCAAGTCCCCAACAGACAAGAAACAGAGCTTAGGCCTGTAAATTCTGTCGGGAACAAGGATCAAGCCAGGAGCAGATTAGATGTTCCAGAACAACGAAATTAAACTGAAAATAAATAAATAAAAATTAACGATAACTCATCATTATCATTATTATTATTATTATCAACACTGTAACATAATTAAAATTAGGCTCTCGATCATCTGTCTCTTTGTACATACTTAATTAACCTCATCATCATTAACTGCCGGAACAGGAAATTCATACTCCCCAGATCCCTAATTAATCCGTCATTAACAATAACAATAAATTGATCATCATCATTATCATCGCCGGAAACTCACTGAACCTCCTCAATCTCCTGCTGCTTTAATTACCTCGGACAAGCTAACGGCCGACATTTGGCGACGGTCAAATTCCCGTCTCTAAAACCGCGATGTTCTCGTCCCGTAAGAGCTTCTTCTTCGTCGCTATAAAGCTCTCCACCGTCATATTAAACTCGTCGTTGTTCATCTCCTCGATCGACTTCCTCGCCTGGTTGAAACTCAAGCTCTTCCCCAGCGCCGCCGCCGCCGCGGCGGCTGGTTTCCTCCTCGCCTTCATCACCACCGTCTCCGACCGCCGCAGCTCCTTTTTATCACAACCTTTTTCGTGACGGCTGCTATTACCACCACCACCACAACTTTCCGTCGCCGTTGCCTCAACCACCACCGATCTCGTCCTCCGGAGCCGCCTCCCGTCACTAAAACCCTCCTCCGCCGCCGCCGCCGGCTCAACCAGTCCGTCGGAAGCATTATCCGACGGCGGCGGAAGCTCTTCCACTCCGCCGGTTGGCCGGCTCGAAAGCGAGACATACTCGTCGTATATGTCCGAGCGGAGGGGAGAAGATCCCGGTGACGATGAATTGACGACGACGTCCTTGTCGGCGGCGGCGGCGATGGTGTTGTTGGCGGCGGCGGTGGAGAAGTGGTAGACGAAGATGACGATGGCGTTGGCGACGAGGAAGGCGCAGAGCTGCTGGCCGAAGACGGAGATGTAGGCGGAAGCCATCTGCGTTAAAAACGGCAGCGTTTTGAAGGACCAGAGGAGGAGGACCGTGGCGCCGAGCAGCCGGCCGAAGTATAAGAAGTTCTGCTGCTGGTTGAATTTTCTGATGGCGTCGGCTTTCTCCGCCTTTAGAGAGTAGGTGTCGTTGCTAAAAGTGAAAGACATTGCGTCTTTTTTTTTTTTTTTTTATAGCTTTTGCTGCAAAAGTTTGGTTTCTGGGAAAATTAGGGGAATTTTCCAGAGAAGGAAAGTGAGTTAATTTGGGGGATATGTTTTTATTTATTTATTTTGTGGGTCTGTTTGAGAAAGGAAGGATGAGGAGGAAGGAAATGGGGGAAGAGGGTTTTTATAGGTTTAGAGTTTAGAGAGAGTTCCTCTACGGGAGAGAGAAAAGGCTTTAAGTGTTTGAGAATTAGGTAATAGTGTCACTTCTTAATTAAGAAGAATCTAATGGATACATAAAATAAAGCAAGAACAATGAAAGAAACTATATAGAAAAAAAGGTTAATATTTTCGTATGGCCTGAATTTCAACCAAAATAAATATCCTGGCCAATCTTTTCGATCTATAACATCCTGCCCCGAACTATACACCAAAATAAACAATTTGGCCAGATCCGACTTTTGACCGTTAACTTGGACGGTCAAACGCGTTGATCGTTAGTCAACGCGCCATGTCACTGCCAAGTCAGCATAAAATATTTAAAATAATTCACAATTTCCACACATTTCCTAATTTTAAATTATATTAAATTAAAAAATCATCTAATATCTTAGTTAAACCAAAAATAAAAAACAAAAAAATTAAATATTTATCAGATCTTCTGACTTGGCAGTGACGTGGCGCGTTGACCGTTAGTCAACGCGTTTGACCGTCCAAGTTAACTGTCAAACATCGGGTTTGGCCAAATTGTTTATTTTGATGTATAGTTCGGGCCAGGATGTTATAGATCGAAAAGATTGGTCAGGATGTTTATTTTGATCAAAGTTCAGGCCATACAAAAATATTAACCCTAGAAAAACATAGTAAAGGAGTACGAGTTTTCCTCAAATTATATTATGATGATGATTTCGACTTAATTTGTTTATCGACATCTGTCGTGATCTTTTTTTGCATGTATATTTCTTTGACTTGCAAGTTATAATGGGAGACCAAACATAAATTTCTTTTTTGTCTTATATTTAATTTTATCCTCACTAATATATACTAGTATTTTTCATGACTTATCTACCACCATACTTTTACACGTTAGGCTCTCACTAAAAGCTTAAAGAGGGAGGGAGAAGGTATTCAGCGAAAAGAAAAGGATGGAGAAGGCAGTGAGCTTTTATGAGTTGTGGAATTTAAGAAAATATATAGCCTTTTTATCAAGTCCATAAAAATGCATGTATATGAGTTTCATTGGAAGTAGTAAATTTCATAATTATGAAACGTGAGTTCTTTTATTAAAATCCTCCTATAAAAACAAATAAGTACTTTCATTTTAGTTAATTAATCAATAATCAGTAAGAAGTTCAGAACTCAAAAGTCATTAATTTACAGCAGCAGGGGAGCTCCATACAAGATGCGTCGCGGTCAGAGCCGAGACTAGAAGTGATCTAAAGAGACAATGACATATCCACCCATTTCTATTATATTTTTCTGCCGGATAATTAATTTTTTTTTAAAAAAAAAGGTAATACGAAGGGATTAAGAAATAAGGAAATTGGTTCCACCAATCATATGCATTTGTTTGTATTATGAAATTTATATTATTTACAACATAATGATAATAGTTTATTTATTGGCTATAATAATATTACCAAATCGGCGCAATAAGGAAGATCCATTCCCCCTCATCCCCATTTTACAAACAACCATTGTGGGGATCGATTCGATTATTATACATAGTACGTACAATGTTTGTAATTAATTACTATCTGTCTCGTATTTTGTCCCCCCCATTTTTTATGAATTAGTTTTTCAGTGTTCACTTAGTGTCTTAGTTGATCCATTATTCGGAACAATTGAGTCTTCCAATTGGTATCGTAATTTTTTATGTGATGAGTTCAAGTTCTGTGATTTTCTTGTTGAATTCCTCTCACTTTGCTTAGTTGTGGTTATAATATAGTTCATATCTATCGGAAAATAAGTCGTTATACAGGTAGTTTTGAGATTGGAATTTCACAACTTTCGAGAATACATACATTTTATAAAAAGCAAAACTTTTATTGTTGGTATTAATCTGAGTGATTGCTCTTTTGGGCGTTGAGGTTGCATGGGAGTTCCATGAAGAAGCCCGGAGTAGTAACTGTCCACCTTCACCATGCATGCAGAAGTACTGAAGGCAAAGTGAAAGGGAGGAAAAAAGGGGGAATTTCTTCACGTAAAGCAAAGAATGAAGAAGATAGATAAGAATTGTGGAATCCAAAATGGTAACCCAGAAAAAAGGGTAAGTTGTCCTTTTGGATAAGAAAAGACAAAGGAGGATTGGTTACACGGGAATCCCTCCCCAGGCCCATCAAGGGGGGAATTCATGTCTTTCACTAGCCCAATAGGCCGATTTTTGGAGTTTATTGGGTCCGAATAGGCCCATGAATAAATTATAATTGTTTGTAGCCGTTAGGGGCGTACTACATGGGAATTGGGATTGCCGGATTGGTCCAGTCTAGAATCGAGCAAAGTAGATGATTAGAGAATTAAGTGAAAATATGATGATAACAAGATTAATAAGTTCAATCGAATGTGTTTCTTTCTTCCTTTGATAGACTCATTATGCCTTTTAAGTTTTAACTCATAACAGATTTTAGTTTGGAAATCTTTTTTGTGAAGCATATATTATAAAGTCAACTAGCCATTGGAAAAGCATTGGAAGTTTGGAACGAATAGCATGTAGAAGAAAAAAATGCACGAAACTAATAGGACAGTCTGCACATTTATTATACTCTCTCTCCAGTTTTTCTATACAACAACTCATGATAACTAAAGGATTGTTGCTGTATATATGCTGATGATTGCTATCGTTTGAGCTCTGTACGTAGTAACTGAACATCGTAATGTGAATCAAATTGTACATATATCCATCTATAGCCGACATTCCAAACCAACCAAAAGGTTATTTACTATGCCTCTCAACTCCGTTATGGTGATGGAGCATATTCGCAAATTTAGTACAAGCCCCTTGTTAACCTATGTAGACGGGAAGGAGATATGCAAACGCGAAGGCACACGAACAGTGGTGGATTCAGGGAGCCTGTCCCCTAGCCACGGCGCCCCAGCCCTGCTCTAGATCTAGAACTAGTATGGCACTTGTTAATTTTTTATTTTAGGTATTCGTTTCGACGAGTTATGGCCATATCCACTCGGATGATCTTTCCAAATGTGGCCCAGAGCTCTACCCTATTCTGTATCCGCCACTACACACGAAAGGTTAGAAAGTCGCTGAGTCATCCGCTTTTAGGCATCACAGATTTATCTTGTCAAAGTATTTCTTCTCACATGGTTAACCGAAACTTAGTCTTATTCTAATCACACTATGCGACATACATAGGTGATGTATAGAAGAGAGGATCTGTAGAGGAAATCCTGTCGGGGGAAGGACTTACCGGTAATCAACAGCCTAGTTTGAACGGTCTTTCCATGTTTAGCAACTAATTAATTAATTAATTAAGTGCTATGATTAATTATTCCAAACGGCTAATTAACATACATTAAGCCCGGTGCTCAAATGTTTAATTGAGTAGGTAAATTAGGGTGATGCATATCTTCAATTATATCCATTTAACCTTACCTAATTTGTTTTCCTTTCTTCCTAATATTCTTATTATTACTATTATATAGTACAAATTATCTCTATGGGGTCTTCATGTACCTAATTAAGACTCCATTAGGTGAAAAACAATTGTGGATAATTACTTATGAACTCGGACTATTCCTACACTTGCGCTATTTTCCTTATAAACTAAAGGAAGTGGGGGTGAAAACAAATTATTATCCTTAAAATCTTAGCATAGCTTTATCTAACATTGCTTTAGGGGAGTTGGCAGGCAGATGATGAATTAAAGGTCCTTCTTTCACATACTCACCCTCAATTATTTCACCTACTTATTTGAGTCCATACGTCATTTTCTTTGACTAATTGCTACCTTTCCACCAAGATTATGCAAAAGGTTGAACATAATTCAAAAAAGAAAACCCCAACTTCCCCTAACACTTAGCAAACGATGTTTTACCGTGTATGTAGGCCCCGTTTGTAGATTAAACAATTTGCGTTTAACATTTTTTTCGTTTTTTTAGGAGAAAATATTATTGAAAGTCGGGCCAATTTATAGATATAGATCATATCTACTGTCATTATGAATGTGACGAGTAGCCCAAATGAGTTGATGTGTGATGACGGCGATTTCATGACAACTAGGAGCCTAAGGTTATGCATCTCTTTCTCAGCCTATCGATCTAAGTCTCTTTGATATCTGTATTTATGTTTTGATTTTCTAACGGTATTTAAATCGTCGAGTGTCCTCTTCTCTTCAATTTGCATTCTATTAGGATTGTGGCATTCCCTTCCCTTTGGTTGGATCCAGGCCTGATCTATTTGTGCTCTTTTTCTTGTCCTTTTTCATTAGGATTGCAATTTGCTATGACATGGTGATGTGCACAGGTAGAGGTGGCAATTTCAATCCAATCCACTAATCCAATCCATCAATCCATTAAAAATATCCACCTAATCCAATCCATTTAAATCCAATCCATTTGATCCAAATCCAATTGGATTGGTGGATTCATGAATTGGATCCATGGATCATTGGTAAATTATAGTTTAGTACCTATAATTTTTATTTTTTACATTTTGGTACCTAAAATTTAATTTTTTATACGAAAAATATCATTGGAAAATTACGTTTTGGTACCTAAAATTTTTCATTGTGACATTTTAGTACCTAAACTTTTTATATTTTACATATTGGTCCTTGGTTGAGTATGTAATTTGGATTCATGGATAATCCACCAATCCACTTGATCCAATCCATGAATCCACCAATCCATTTGATCCATGGATCCACCAATCCAATCCACCAATCCACCAATCCAATCCATTTGCCACCTCTATGCACAGGGATGCTTAAGGCGATTGCTACTCAGGGAATGTAGTTTGAAAGCAGCTATGCAGTCGAGTCGCAATAGAGATACAAAAGTAAAGATCGTGGGAAGCTTTATAAGGGCAATTTTCGGAAGAGGAGAGGAGACATAAATACTCGAAGTATTTTCCCGGTCAAATTTTACTTCTCTCTAGAACAGTGGTCTTAGCAGTAACACTGGAGAATCTCCACAGACTAAAGTACTCTGAGCACTTCTACTTTGCTATATAGCATTGGTGCTTTAATGTACAACTCAAAGTTGTACCATAACATTAAATGTATAAGTTTAGGTTGTACCATAAAGCAATTTGTATCATTATGTTATGGTACAATTTTACAACTTGAAGTTGTACCATCACATAAAGGTACAAGTTCAAGTTGTACCATAAAAGAATTTGTACAAAAGTATAGGTACAATTTAAAGTTGTATCATAAAGGCAAAACCCTATAGCACCAATATTATATAATATTGTAAAATTTCTCTAAGTACTCTTGCTATGACAATGTCTTAAGAGGCATCACGTTTTGTTTTCATGACTTCGATGCACATTGATGACATGAAAATCCACCATTAAGTTCAAGAACAACCGGTGGATCAATTTAACTATACATGGCTAAGGATGCTCTTGCCCTGATCACCCTATTCCTTTTCCTCTTAGTTTCAACAGGTATGATTCAGACCTAAAGTTAACACAACTTCCTATCTGACATCTGCTCTTAAGACTCCCACAGGCTCAACTTGAATTTAATGGAATTATGCAGCAATGCCTATCACAGAAGAAAAGCTTTGCCAGAGGCGCAGCAAAACCTGGTCAGGATCTGCACAAACTCTGGCAGCTGCAATCGAACAATGCAAGAACTTGGAAAAGGCATTTAGTGGAGCTATATCAAATGCCGAAATCAAAAGTTCAACATATGCTGCCTGCTGTTGATGATGATGTTTCATGTTTGCTTAAATAAGCCATCCATGGTATGTATTAGACCATAGAATAATCTGTAGGGACTCTCAACTATATCCGAATACAGTGTGAGAATGAATTATGCTAAAAGATAGTCTCTTTTCTCTATATGCCACCCAAAAATGCTCAGCATCGAATCCGCCATGAACGCTAGGAGGATTGAAAGAATATTCAGCTCGATTGAAGAAACAGCTCTGAAGTGCAATACTTACTGGGGCATTTTATCGAACACATTATCTGCAATTTCATATTGGGGCAAATTGTACTTCACAATTCTCAAACTGAACAGAGACCCAATTACACCAATCTGAAACCCATTTTACCTCCATACCCCAGCTGCGAGTTGTTCACTGTTCTTTCTACTTCTTCTTGCCCTTTCCGGATTTCTTCCTGCTGGGCAAAACAATCTCGCCCTTGAGCACAGGGATCTGCATAAGCTGCGTCAGCTCCCCGAACTTCTTCCGGAACTTCTCGACCTGGTCCGCGTCCACAAGCACGCCGGAGCGGTTCCCCAGGTAGAACGGGTGGTTCCCGGACCAAACGTCAATGTTGTACTCCTCCTGTGTCCCGCCGGTGGTCATCACCAGCTCCCCGTTACAGTACACTTTGGAGTCCGTGTGGAACTCCGGGTGTATCTCCTTCTTCCGGCACGTTACCTGCAGACCTCCGCATCCGCCGCCATTCCTTCCGGCCACAGCCTTCGCCTGTAAATTTCGGGAAGCATTGAATGAAAATTCCCCCAAAATGGAACCGCCGCAGAGAAGAGTAAGTAATTCGGGCGGTACCTTTGTGGCGGAGAGCAGCGGAGGAGAGATGGGTTTGATCTGGAGGAAAGCGTTGGTCAGTACTTGCGCCATCTGTGTTTGGAGAAGAGGAGAGGCGAAAGCTCGAAGCAGTGAGCAGCTTGTGGGTGGAGGAGGGGACGATGATGTAGCTGGCGAAGAAGATGAGGTGATCTTCTTAGTGGTCATTGGGCTTTCTGGACTATCTTTGGGCAGCTTGTCTCTGTTTTCTGTATGGGCTTAAGTTCACGATTCATTTAGGCCATGTAAGCCCGTTGCCGTTGTTCCCGAACAGGTTGCAGAAACTGGTTTTGATCGACCGAAATTGGCTGCAAAACACTGCTACCTCAAATTAAAACCGACGGGCGCATAACCATTTCAGAACGATCATATACAACCAATACATATGCCAGGATCTAAAAATCGAAATAACGTGGGTACCTAAGGATAACGAGTAACCCTAGTTAGCTAGGCAATATGATAGGAAGTTGCTTTCTCTATAAATGTGAATGATACGAACCACCCAAGCACACTCCAAGGGGAAAATAGAAATGAATAGCAAGTATCATCCGTTGGTGCATCGTGTCATCTAGGGCACTGAAGTAGGGTTACAATAAAAGATGAGTCGACCTGTGCTTCCACCTTTCAATATCCGAGGCGCCAAGTTGTCTGGAGTCCTTCAACGACGCCTCACAATTTGATTATGGTAATGGAATAACTCTTCGTGTTCATGACGTAGGGGCACCCAACAAGCGGCCTGCAAATCTCGCATAGCTCCTCCAGTTGTAGCTCGCTGGGTAGACAAAATGTATGGGTCATTGGAGTTCACTATGACCAACTCCTTCTTGCGATGCAGATCTCAGCCCCACATCCATCGAAATTGATGCAAATTTCTTTAATTTTGTTATTAAACAATAGCTTCAGTAGGTATATAATCCAACAACTCCCTGTATTAGTTGTTTATCCGTTTCTTATTCCAATATTAATTTTGTCAAAATTCGTTACTAATTGAAGCATGTTTTTTTATAATTTACTTGTCACGTATGTTTGAAATTCATGTTAAACTTTTCGAATCAACAACTATTTCATCTCAATAAAGTGTCATATGACGAAGCGTTATAAAAAAAAATCTAACTAATTTGATTGAATTTCTAATGGAGATGTTAAAATTTAAAACCAAAAAACAGTAGCAAAATGATATATTTGTTAAATATAGTACTAATTTGTCAAAGAATATAATATATAGAGACTGGAAATCGACATAAAAAAAGACTCGGGGAAAAAAAAAAGGTCTTTCGTCCTCGAAGCAGCAAGTCCAGACAACTCTGAAGAGAATCCCGCCCCTACAGCAACGCCGCTTGCTTACAGTAGCGTCCACCCGATCACGGAAATGCCACTCATCCAATTGCGCAGTCGGCTCCACATTCAAAACCCACCTCATTTCTAGTCTTCTCTTCACTCTCTCAGTCTTTCTCTCAACAGATATGGTTACCTAACTATCCGCTTTGAACGGCTGTTTTGCCTTTACACCATTTCTGCCCCCAGCCGGATTTCCCCATCTTTGGTGGTGAGTTTCTACATGGGTTCATTTCCCCCCCTAAATCTCATGCATGATTTTAGGCTGTTTAAGTGTTACTATTTTTTACCTTTTGGCGGATTCCTTAATAAAAACCCATATAATCATTTTTCATTGTCTTTTTTCCGCTGGTTTTGTTGTGCAGAAATGGATTCTGCTTGTGCTTCGTTGAATGCCACTGTTGCTTATGCATCAGGTAATGGAATCAGCAGTGGGGGATCGTTGTTCTGGGGAGAGAGTCTAAAGGGTATCCAGAACCAGAAGTGTAGAGATTTGAGAGCTCAACCATGGAAGAATGTTGGGGTTAACAGCAGGAGCTGTAAATCGACAAGGCCTGGAGTTATCAACTCTGTTCTTACACCCGATCTTGATCAAGAAACTATGGTAGGCAAATGTGATGACAATTATGATATCGTGATCTTGCTTCTTAACTTACCTCATTGCCAATCAAAAAAGCTGTGTGCTTTAGTTTAGAAACTGTGCGCTCTCTTATTCGAGTGGTCATGTTATGGATTTTAGGCATTTGATATGCGGATGTTCGAATCGAAGAAAGCCGACCCGAAGAATGTTGCTTCGATCATATTGGGTGGAGGAGCTGGGACACGCTTGTTTCCTCTGACTAGCAGAAGAGCTAAGCCTGCGGTGAGAAATGGGCTCCAAGAATTCTGTTTTTGCAGAAAGATGGGAATTTTTTGTGTTGCAGGCGAGATTTTATTTGTCACCCTCTTGCAGGTACCAATTGGAGGGTGTTATAGGCTTATTGATGTTCCAATGAGCAACTGCATCAACAGCGGTATAAAGAAGATATTCGTGTTAACGCAGTTCAACTCCTTCTCGCTTAATCGCCACTTAGCCCGTGCATATAACCTTGGCAATGGTGTTAACTTTGGAGATGGATTTGTGGAGGTAATCTTGTTCATAGCATATTCTGTTAATAGAATTGAGGAAACATTATGATGATTGATGTGGAGATGTGTATGATTCCGAAATGGCTATAGGTTCTTGCTGCTACTCAAACAAATGGAGAAACAGGAAAGAGGTGGTTCCAAGGAACTGCTGATGCTGTGAGGCAGTTCATCTGGGTCTTTGAGGTGGTGATCAATTGTCAATTCTTACATCTAAAGTTTGGAGATTCAATGTGTCTTAATGGTTATCCTTTTCCCTTCCATGCTGTCCATTCAGGATGCGAAGAACAAAAATGTGGAACACGTAATAATCTTGTCTGGTGATCATCTCTACCGCATGGATTATATGGATTTTGTGCAGGTAATTTCAATCTAACGTTTCATCTGGTCAAATCTGCAAAAAAGTTGATCCCTGTGGAGAGTTTTTTAATCCATTGTGTTCTTGCAGAAGCATGTCGATACCAATGCTGATATCACAGTTTCTTGTGTGCCCATGGATGACAGGTATTTGCCCTTCATCCTTTTTGCTTTCATGTCATTGCTTATAACCCTTATTGAGTTGAGATGGTTATTTACTGCCATGCATTTGATGAAATGAATCACCTTGTGTTTTACAGCCGAGCATCAGATTATGGACTGATGAAGATCGACAACACAGGGAGAATTGTCCAATTCTCTGAGAAACCTAAAGGCCGTGAACTGAAAGCAATGGTAGAGTAGTACAACATATCTTATATCTTCTGCTCTTAGCTTTTGTATTTGGCTTCTCGCATACTTAGCTATTTCACTCTTTATGCTGCAGCAAGTCGACACAACTATCCTCGGCCTACCAAAAGATGAAGCCAAGAGGTACCCTTACATAGCATCAATGGGTGTTTATGTGTTCAGAACTGATGTCTTGCTAGAGCTTCTGAACACAACCTATGCCTCGTGCAATGATTTTGGCTCTGAAATTATCCCATCTGCTGTCAAGGATCATAATGTGCAGGTGAAACTCGATTGTCCTCAATTTTCTGAAAATTTCTCATGTCATAAGATTTTTAGCTGATTTTGTTTAACCTTGTTGAAGGCTTATCTGTTCAACGACTACTGGGAAGACATTGGAACAATAAAATCCTTCTTTGATGCCAATCTTGCCCTCACTGAACAAGTTGGTATCTTTTTTTTTCTTTTTTCTTTTCCTTGTTCTACTACTGATTCTGGAAATTGATAAGTATATAACAACCTATGCAGCCTCCGAAGTTTGGGTTTTTCGATCCAAAGACACCATTCTACACATCACCAAGATTCTTGCCCCCTACTAAATTTGATGAATGCAGGGTATGAACTATTATCAACTTTCAAACCTCTTCCTTCATTTCTAAGGTTTATTTCTTAGGCATATATCTGTTTCCCTTGATGTAGATCGTGGATGCTATAATCTCACATGGCTGCTTCTTAAGAGACTGTAGTGTGGAACACTCAATAGTTGGTATTCGTTCTCGTCTAGAAAGTGGCGTCGAGCTCCTGGTAAGATACAAACTGCATTTCATGCCTTCCTAAGTTGATGAAGAAACATTTCATCTCAGTATATGCAAGTCTTGCAGGATACTATGATGATGGGTGCTGATTACTACCAAACCGAAGCTGAAATCGCCTCTGCACTTGCAAGTGGAAACGTCCCTGTTGGAGTTGGACCAAACACCAAAATCAAGTAAAGTTTCCAAACTCCATCTTCCCTAGTCTGCAGCTAGAAAGATTGTTCAAACGGCTTAACATTCTTTTAATTTTATTTGTTGCTCTAGAAACTGCATAATTGACAAGAATGCTAGAATTGGAAGAGATGTAGTCATTGCAAACACCGACGTAAGATTGTTCCTTCATCTCACTCATCAAGGATTGTCCATTCCTTTTAGAGTTGTATCTGAAATGGCATTTCCTTTGTGCAACCTTCCACAGGGTGTTGAAGAAGCAGAAAGACCAGATGAAGGGTTCTATATCCGGTCAGGGATCACAGTCATTCTGAAGAACGCAACGATTAGAGACGAAACCATCATTTAGGCTCAAAGGCTTCCCTATTCCTAGCTGCAGCAGCATTAGAATAATATTACGCAACTGGTGCGGTTTAACTGCATTGAACCACAAGATACGGTCCGGCTCTGGTGGTGGTGTTCCTATTCACAGATCAAGAAGGGTCCTGATTGCAGAAAACACCGGTCGTGATGTCAACATACTACCAAAGGTTGCCAACCTTCGGAATGCTGCGAAGTTGACGACCCGTAGGCCTTCTACCTCGACCCGGCATTGCTTCGTTAGGCTTTAGTCCCATTGCGGAAATGTTTCGTCCCAGTGTGACTGATCATCCTTTAGGACTAGCTATTCAACCGAGATGAACTCAGTTCCATTCTGTTTGTTAAATAATCTAGTCTTCTAATTACAAGTCCCGCAATTTCATTTTATTAAGCAAAATTAATCCAAACGATACATTCTCAAGATTCTCAGTGGACGAATACTCTGTTTCCAAACCTATCTATTATAAACAACCCACCAGCCAAACGAGCACTACGCCTTTCCTTCTTCCCTCAATTTCCGATTCCATTGTGTCTAATGCCATTGCCGCCGGCCCACCTTGCTCTGTTCCTCAGCTCGAGATAAAGCCTCCGAATCCGGTTGAGCTTATTCGATTGATCGGCAATGATCCCAGCAGTCGACCCGTTCTCGCTCAAAACCACCTCGTACCCATCTCCGAAATTGTGCATTCCTTCGGTGAACAGCTGCCAGAACATCCCGCCGGCGGCGGCGCCGCCAGCTCTGGCCGACGAGTATATCGCGGTGTAGACGGTGTCGAACAGCCGATCCCTCTGTTCTACAGGCGCAGTTCTCAGAGATTTGCCGAACTCCGCGAAGAGAACGGGTTTCCGGAGAACGTTCTGGGAATCCTGGATGTGAACTTGCAGCCAGTGGGTTAAGAAATCCTGCTGGCTCCGGTCGTCGGAGCTCGGCAGCCATTGGTCCGGGTAAGAGTGGACCGTGGCGAAATCGATTTCCGGGATCTGATTGTTGGCGATGAAATCGGTTCCCACTTGGAAGTTTGGGTTGTCCTGCTGCTTCTGAGATTCCGATTGTCCGTAAAACCCCTCTAGACCGACTTCCAGCAGGTGGTTCCCGTCGATTGATTTTAGGTAAGCAGCCATCTCCGTTATCCATTCCTGTAAAAAAAAAAAGGTTAAAGTATTTGAACCCAAAAAATGCCCACCAGGTGTTTGAGAAAAGGGGAAAAACCTGAATGGCTCTGCCGGAGGGATCCGAGGTGCATCTGGGTTCGTTCATGAGCTCCCAAGCCATGATCGCCGGCTCGTCCTTGTAATCAACGCCGGTGATGGTGTTCCGGCGGGTGAGAACCGTCTTTATGTGATTCTTGTAGAACCCTTTGATCACCGAGTTGGTGAAGAAATCGTCGTCCGACGAAATCGACTGGCCCTGACTTCTCCCCCAATTGGCGTACTGCTTCTTCCCTCCGTAATGCTCGTAGTTGTTCACCAAGCTCAGAATCAACTTGATCCCGTTCTTCTTCGCTTCAGACACCACCAAATCCAACGCCTTTTGAAAACAGAGGACGCCATTGTTTCATCAGAAAAAAGAATTGATAAGAAATTTCACAATGGGAGAGAGATCGAATTGGGAGTCTAAGAAAAAAAAAACCTGAAAAGTCTGCTCGCTGTAGAGGCCAGGGGAGATCTGAAGAGCTCTATCTTGAGTACCATCGTTGAACGCCCAAGTTCTGGCGATGGCGAGGCCGTGCCCTCTGGCTTCCTGAAACAAGGTGGAGACTTTCTGCCTCTCGGACGGAGAAGGGTCGGCTGCAACGTACATGAGCCAATAGGCGTTGAAGCCATTGGCGTAAAATGGGGCGCCGTCGAGCGTGAACTGGGCTCCATTGGTCTTCACGAACCCATCTTCACCGGCAGCAATCCCCTTCTTCCCCTGAAGAACTAGAAGAAGAGTCACGAGCAAAACCAGAGCTTCCAATCGCTTCATTTTCCTTTTCTTGCTTTGTGGGTGTTGTTCTGATTCTCGTGATTGCAGGCAGGGGCGTAAAAGAAGGATGCGGAGGCGGTGGTGGGTGGATTGTTCGTGGGTTTAGAAATGGCGAGGTGCCGTTTGCAGGGTGGGTTTGTATAGAAGAAAAGCTGGTTAGTGTACTTTAGTTTGGAGTGGGAGGGAAGGAAAGAACTTACTGTTGACGTATATTCAATGAGCTTTGTATTAACTTCTTTCGCCGTTTTTCATTTATTGCAGATTGATACTGTGTAATTAAGTTTCGAATTAATCTTCCTTAATACAGTTCTTGTACCGTTTTTTGGGTAGGAGAAATACAGTTCTTTGTACTTACATAGCTCAACCTAACACAAGTACACACCAACAACATTTCGCCGGTTATTACATAGTGGTGTGGATTTGTAAATTACATTTTTTTTGCTGTGAGGTTTTCCTTATCAAAGTCGGAATTAAAAAATTCCTATTTCGTAGATTGTCACCATGAAATTCAATAACGGAACGTTGTGATTGACGTTTATAACGCGCGAATGTAAGTTGACCGTGCAGCTATGTGTTTTAGTGAGATTTAGCCATTTAACTTATGTGGATTACTAGACCTTCCTTGTGCACCATTGTTGAGAAGACAGTTTCTTGATCCATTAGCTAGTTTATAGGGGTAATCCTTTTCTTCAACCACCGGCAAGAACCATGGTTTCTTCACCAAGAATACCAGATGAAACTTTTCTCCTCATACAGACATATCAAACAGATATTCTCACTGCTTCCAGTAATGGAGCCTTCACCAACAAGGTCGACATGGCCGACAACAATATCAAGACGGATCCGGGAACGAACAGAAGGGAGGGAGTCAGGGAGGGGGCCAGGGCTAAGCTTGCAAGTAAAAGAGATACAGGACATGCAAGCAAAAGGATTGGGGGAAATAGAGGGCAATTAAGGCCATGGGAAACTCCGCCTAGAAAGAAGAAGAAACGAAAGAAAGAAGAGTTGACTAATACAACTCTGAGATCTAGTGATAATTCTGGCGGCGATATGGGGAAGCGAGGAAATCGAACTGCAGGAGGAGACAATCTGCACATTAATGGGGCGCTGTGGTCGAGTGAGGATCCAAAACAAGGTGTAGAGGAGTGGGGAAGGGGAAGGCGAGGGAGCAAGATACATAGACCAGCAGCCAGATATGGGAGGGGAAGTCAGCAGGTGAATCATTACAACCTTAGGAAGGGGAATGATAGTGGAGGTACAGTGCAGGGAGCATTGAATGAAAGGCAACCTGGGGAAGTAACACTCGGCACTGTGGATGAAAATGCTAGACGGCGACCGCAGCCCAGAAGGAAGAGGGGGAAGCTAGGAGGACAGAAGGGTGTTAAGGTCTACATCAAGTGGATAAGAGGGGAGGGGACGGAGCATTTAAGTCCCTCAGAGGGAGAGAAGGGAGGGGAAGAGGAGTATTTAAGGAGCAGGAAGGTCTCAGGTTTTTCCATCCTTCCACCCAGAACCAACACGAAGATCAAAATCCGGAAAAAAGAGAGAACACGAGAGGGGAAAAAAGAAAAGCTCAGAGCTGTTTATCAAGATATAGAGATCGTGAAAATGGAGTTAAATCAGGAGAGAGTGAGAGGAGTTCACAATCACCTCATCATCAACCTTCAGCCTCAAGATGTTGGGGCCAGGGGGTCGGGAATGGCTATGCTGCTCGGAAAATGGATTACAGACTCAAAGGTGGTCCTGTTCAAAGCCAGGAACTCGGCGGCAAACAAATGGCGAGCGTTTGGGGAAATGGAGACTTCAAAAGAGGATGAAAACCTTTTTGTTCACACTTTTGAGAATGCAGCAAAGAGAGATGCGGTTTGGAAAGGAAGGCCATGGAATATAGGCAATACTCTGGTGGCAGTCAAGAAGTGGGATGGAGAAGGGAGCGTGAAGGAAGTGGATTTCTCGACGGTCACCATGTGGGTACAACTACATGATCTTCCCCAATCTCTGAAATATGAAGAGACTATCAGAGCAGTTGCGGAATACATCTTCCCGGTGTTCCATGGGATAGACCGATCAAATATCGAGCATAGAGGCTACAGAAAGTTCATCAGAATCCAGGTGGAAGTCAACATTGAGGACCCAATCCCAATTGGGTTCGAGTATCCGTGCGGAGAACGATCAGCTTGGATTGGTTTCAAATACGAGAGAGTTATGGATTTGTGTTATTTTTGCGGCCGATTGGGGCATGTGCTGCAAAACTGTTTATTCAGGGAAGAGAGTCGAAGGAAGGGGCTGAGCATCGAGCCCTCGGAGGTGTACACGGCGGCACTGAAAGCCGGGCACGATTCACCGGCGAACACTCCGCCGATCTCTTTCCGCCGTCGACATGCAGCCCAGGTGGAAGAGAGCTTGAGAAGAGAGAAGGAGCTCATATTACGAGGAAGGAGGGAAAAGTCAGCCCAGCTGACACTGTCCCCCGCTGACAACAGACTGGAGATCAGCCACCCACCTGGATTCGGCTACCTGCAGAGAGAGGCGACATCCAGTAACATCAGGGAACAAGAAGGGAGACAAGGGTACGGGGTAGCAGAGAAGGAGTCAGGAGGTTCAACGAGAAGGCTGGAGATTGATCTCGAGGCTACCACCGAGGCAATCCAGTCGTCTCTGGTGCTCAGTGAAGGAGGAACAAGATGGAGGGAAAGAGAAGTGGACCTAAGATCAGAAGAGGACAAACAGGGCCTGATGGAAATGGGCCTCCAACTCAGCCTAGCAGTGCCAAGAATCGACGAAGAAAGGAGGGCCCAGGAAGAAGAAAGGCAAAAGGAGCCCAGCCCAGGTACACCACAAGTGAAGGGAGCCATTGGGACAATAATTCAAGAGGCCCAGTATGCGGTCCAGCTGATCAGGGGGGAGCCACTCTCGGCGACCCATGGAAGCCCAATGAAGAAAAGAAAGGCCGACCAAGCCCAGGGAGGAGGAGAGCTATCACCAGAGCCTTCCAATTTTTCTAACTTCAATGTCGATTGTGGTGTTTTTAACCCAGGTCCAGAAGATCAAGTAAAGGGAAGAAGAAGGCAAGTGTATCGAAGAAGAAGTATCGCGGCAATTACAGCAAGGGAGAAACAATCCGAGGGGGAGCATGATCCATCTTCGAGGGCAACGGCGGCAAGCCTGGAGCCGCCTCCAGGAAAATGAGGCTGATCAGTTGGAACTGTCGAGGATTTGGCCAGTCCTCAACAAGGAGTTTCTGCAAGAACCTATGTCGTAGGTTTCGGCCATCAATCTTCTTCCTCATGGAAACAAAACAAGAGGAGGAATTCATGGAAGGGAAGAGGAGGAGATTGAAGTTTTCAAACTCGGCATATTTTAACCCTAGCCAAGGAGGAAGTGGATTAGCTTTATGGTGGGATGAGAATGTATCGATCAGGGTGATTGATAGGTCTCGATTTTACCTGGATGTTTGTATTAGTTGGAGTAGTAATGTGTGTTACTGTACGTTTGTTCATGCTCCCACCACAACGGTGGAAAGAAGATCATTTTGGGAGAAACTCACCTCTCTGAGGGAAAGGGGGGATGAGGAATGGTTGCTTGTAGGAGATTTTAATGCTGTATTGGCTGATTTTGAGAAGCAGGGGAGATGCCCCATTAGAAATGAAAATCGTGCTCCGTTTAAGTATTTTGTGGATCAGAACGGCCTTGTTGACCTTGGTTTCAACGGTTCGATTTTCACTTGGAAGAATATGCAAAGAGGTGTGGATGGGATTAGGGAGAGACTTGATAGAGCTCTCTGTTCCCCTTCGTGGAGGATTAAGTTTGACAGAGCCAAGGTTTTTCACGAGATCTTTGTAGAATCTGATCATTGTCCTATACGAGTGGATTTTGACATGCTGGAAGCAAGAAGGGCAATCCCATTCCGTTTTGACAAACGTTGGAGATTTGAGGAAGAATGCATTAACATAGTTAAAGAATGCTGGAACAAGGACTCTGATGTTAGCAATACCCTAAATAGTTGTAAGACTCATCTTGAGGAGTGGGCGAAGAAGGATAGACAAAGACAAGCACAGAGGGAAGAGGAGATCAAGAGGAGAATGAAGCAAATCCAGGAATTGGATGACTATAATGATCACATTGACGAAGAGAATCAAATCAGTAATGAACTTGGTATTATGTGGGCTAAGGAGGAGGAGTTCTAGCTACAGGTGTCCAGAGTTAACTGGCTACAGGGTGGAGATCAGAACTCGGCTTTCTTTCATGCGGCTTGCATTCAGAGGAAGAAGATCAACCGGATCAATAGACTAAAGAATGGAGAAGGAGTGTGGATTGAAAACCAAGATTCCCTCAAGCTCATGACCACAGAGTTCTATCATAATCTTTTCAAGGCTAGAGATATCAGTACTCTCAGGTTTGATTTGGAGGGCTTCCCACATCTGGTCTCTGATGATATGAATTCCGACTTGGGAAAAGAGGTGTCTAATGCGGAGATTAAAGAAGCGGTTTTTGCCCTGGGGGCCAGCAAAGCCCCAGGGCCTGATGGCTTTCCAGGTCACTTTTTTCGCCGATTCTGGAATGTATGTGAACCCAAAGTCTGTGAGGAGATTCGATCTTTCTTCAGGACATCAAAAATCCCTGCAGGATGGAATGATACTTTCATTACCATCATCCCAAAGGTTGATGCTCCAGAGGAATTGGGCCAATTCAGACCGATCAGCTGCTGTAATTTCAGATATAAAGTAATAACAAAGATTCTGGCTTCCAGAATCCAGAAATGGCTGCCTAAGCTGATCAATGAAGTTCAATCTGCATTCACAGGGGGAAGGCAGATCCAGGACAACATTGTGATTGTCCATGAAGTTCTGAACCATTTCAAGAAACATAAAACTGGCCGCAAAAGAGATATGATGCTCAAACTCGACATGAAGAAAGCGTATAATTTAGTGGAATGGCAATGCCTTTTGCAGCTCCTGAAGGTCTATGGATTCTCGGAGCTATGGTGTAGTTGGATAGAGGAATGCATTTCAACAGTCAATTTCCAGGTTCTCTTCAATGGATCCCCATCTCAGAGCTTTAAGCCTTCTAGAGGGATTCGACAAGGGGATCCCCTTTCTCCCTTACTCTTCATTCTAATGACCAACGCTTTATCATTCCTGGTGGAGAAGTCGATTGAGAATGGAAGTATAAAAGGACTAAAAATAAACCACTACTGTCCTCGCCTCACCCACTGCCTCTTTGCGGATGATACAGT